AAGAAGAAGAAGAAGAAGAAGAAGAAGAAGAAGAAGAAGAAGAAGAAGAAGAAGAAGAAGAAGAAGAAGAAGAAGAAGAAGAAGAAGAAGAAGAAAAGGAGAAGGAGAAGAAGAAGACGTTTTGAGCATACTGTTTGAACATCCTCTCTCGGTTGCAGACCACTGTGACAGTTACTAACGGGGTCTAGTAACAGTCAGATTGTGAGTTCGCCCACAAACGTGTATGATAATATTAACCTAAACCGTGCACTCTGACATAACTTCCGTCCACACTTACAGAGGGCAACATTTGACTCTGTTAGGAGCCAAATAGAAGACAAGGGGGAAAAGGTGCCACGCGCACTCAACAATGGCGAGACTGGACCTTGTGTTTTCACCCTTATTTTGGCGCCCTTGACTTTCTATAGAACGCTAAGAGCGGCAGACTTGGCAGTGCACCATCTAGGAAATAAAATTATTATAGTGCAAGTCTATGGTTACGCCCGACACGAGCCCACTTAGTGATAGAGATGTAAAAAGAAAGGGGGGGGGGGGGGGCTATTGTTAGACGGCTCGACACAAGGGGATTTCTGACACCGCTGACTGAATATTACAGTGGGTGAGGTTTGAGAGGAGGAGGGAGAGAAGGAGGAGGGAAAAGGATGATAGGGAAGGATGAGGAGGTTAAGGGAGGAAGAGGAGAACGAGGGAGGAAGAGAAGAATGAGGGAAGAAGAGGAGGGAGAGGGAGAATGGGGGAGGAAGAGAAGAATGAGAATGAGTTGGGAGGATATGGGAAGAGATGGAGGAGGTAAAAAAAAATGAGGGTTGATAACGAAGCGTGGGAGGTGCATTCGGGAGGATGGGTGATGTTTCAGTAAGAGTTTTACGGAACTTGCAAGGCGACATGGTCATATAAGTGCAGAAGATTAGAGGTGTCACAAAAGTGTAACTAAACATAAAAGAGAAGGAAGAGAGAGGAAAGATAATAACGATAGATGTTTGATAGAAAAAAAGGAGTAAACCACACCAGAGCACCCGCCAACCACCCATTTGGACAGGCGAGCAAAAGGGGAGGAAGAAGAGGAGAAGGAGGATGAAGAGTGTGATTGGTTTGCAAAAGCAGGAGAAGAGTGGGAAAAGGAATGGATGGACGAAGAGTGAAAGGAGGAATAGGAGAAGGGGATTTTTCGGGTGTGGGGGG